TTTTTTTTTTTTTTCAGGTACTCGTGTTGAAGATGCCAAGGCATTAATTGCAGCTGCTAGTTTGCGGATGATTTCATGTGATGACTTAGACCAAGCTGCGAAAATGGTTGTGAAGTTATCGGAAATAGTTCAGCTGGCACGATCTATACCGATTGATGTATCCTTCCAGCTTCCTTCTTAAGTTCCAGTTTCTAGCAGAAGTGATGCAAAGTTATTAGTTGATATTAGTTTATCCCATTTTGTTAATATGTCTTTATTCTGTTGAAATAAAATTGCAGAAGGATAGAATTGTCCTCTAACACAGTATTTTTTGTGACTATTTTTTGTTTCAATTAACGCAATAATTTTTTAATGCTTTGTAATTTTTTGTTAATAATGATTTTATATAAAAATATGACTAACATTATTTAACCTCTTAACTTCTTGAAGAGTTTTAGAAAGTATACAATTGCATGAATCCTTTTTTCGAAATTAAAAAAATGGAATTCTTTATTATGAGGTTGTACTAATATGTTGAAATTTTAGTGTTGTTTTGTATTAAAACTTGTGAATTTTTTTTTAAATATTTGCAGTGAACTGTTTACAACTACGGTTGTTTATCACTTTGGTAGCATTATTGGACTGTTGGATAGTAATTTGAATATTCGCGCAAAACAAATGCGGAGTTCGAATCTTTTATTAATCAGCAAAAATTTGAGTTTCTGTATTCAATAGTAAATGCCTTTGTTCTAAATGTTGTTCTTTGACCGTAGGTTTGTTGATTTTTTTCTTCAATTTATTTTCTGCATATTTATTGTGTCATCTATCTCCAGCAATTTTTTTGTCCGGTACTTCATTAATCAGAAATGGTCAGTAGTGATGAAAAAGCTCATTGTTCATGATGATGAATTTTCATAGTATATATTTATTATTATTAAATTACTGGCTGTTGAAATAATATTTTTATATTTGCTTGCGTAGAATCCCTCAATTGCAAAAAATATTCTTTCATTCGTTTTGCATTTTAAAATGTAATAGCTTTTGTTTTTTATCAAAATTATCATAACAAAAATATGAAAATACATGTGTTATCAATAATTATGATGTAATTGGTAAGATTGGTTTTTTTTTTTTCTATTTATACGTATGATTCGATGGTTAGAAATTTTCCGTAAGCTTATACACTCGAATGAAAGAGCTGTGTTATCTTTGGAATGTTGAACGAATCTCATATGATTACTCTCGTTTCCTACATTTTCGAAACGATTGCAATGTCTCAGATTAATGGAAATTGCTTGTGCTATTGTCTTCTTTCCATTTTTTTGAATTGTAAGAAATTTTAGAAGACACTTGATGTTCAGTTGTATACAGATGAGATTTTTCATCTTATTTACATGTTATGCAACATTTAATGCGTATTCTGTTGTGCGCAAATATGTTTTAGTAATATAGGTTATGCTTTAGGAGTAATTAAATAAGGATAAAAATATACGCTTTTTTATAGCCTGAAGCCGAATTATTCTATTTGCTTATACATTATCCATCATTATCATTTAATTTTTATTACTTTATTTGGGTTTTTATTTGATATTCGCATTATTTGTTATTTCTCTAAGATTTATTTTTTAACTATTTGAAGCAATCTCTCTCCATTTAAGAATTCATTTTTAATCTGTTATCTCCTTTTTTTTTAAAATCATTGTTTCTTATTATATTGTCAACATTTCATTTAATGTTAATATTTCAGATTAAACAGGTATAAATGTGTAGCGTTTTTGACGACAATTTATTTGTTTAACAGATGAGAGGTATGATGAAATTTTTTTGATTTTTTGTTAATTTTCAAGGTATGTAAATAAACCGATAATCCTTTCAGTTGAGGTTTTATAAAATATTCTAATGTTTAGTGTGACTTAATCTTTGACTCATTACTGAAAATATGACGAATAAATGATTACCATATGTTTAGCGGAAGCAAGTCGCTTTGTTTTGGCTGATATTCCTACCTTAAATTTGCAATTACAATTCGTTTAGGGATAATGTTTTTCTAACAGAATTTTTTCAAGTTGAAATCTAAAGATTTTATTGTTGATGTTTTGAAAACAGTCCTTATCAGTTTCCATTTCCACTGTGAGTAATTTTGAAAAGGAAAATGACAATACAGGCTCAAAAATAAGTTCACAAATGACACCTACAAACCCGAATTTACACTTCTGTTCGGAAGAAATCTCATTTTAAGGTTTACATTTCCATTGTGATCATATAATCATTTTTATTGGTGGTAGGTTTATTCCCGTCTAGAAGATTTAATTTTTCAATTAATTTTAGGTTTTTTACGTGCAGTATCATTTGTACGTCAAACGGACTATTTCAGAAGTAATGGTTTAAAAATTCACTTTTCAATTTTTCCATTTTAAGCATTTATTTTTGGAGTATGTCTACAAGAAGCTTTCATGTTTTCCCGTAAATGTCCGAATTATAATTTAGTTTATGATCCTTGATAAGCTAATTTAGTTTGTAATATCTAATAGGCCTGCTGTCGCATTGTCCTACACTTATATTGAAATATGATGGTATGCTTGTCAGATGTTGTATTCCTTAAAGATATCGGGAAAAGTTTTCTGATGATACAATCACAGTCAAGTTCATAACGAAATTCAGCTATTGGAAAGAGATGATTTCTTTTTCATAATTTGAAAAATTATTTCATGGTTTCGTTTATTAATATTAAAAAAAAAAATTATTAATGGTAAAAAGAAAAATTACTATTAACAATTAAAATAATTGAGATGCTTTTATATGCCATATAAGCATTCTTCAAG